TGCAAATTTTGGCAAGTTTTTTCTAGCAGGTATCTGCTAGTGGGCGGGGTTTCCTGGGAAGAGGCAGCCAATAGGCAGGAGTTTTAGCAGAGGCTGGGCGACCGCACGGTGCGTAGGTGAACTTCCTGAACAGAGGTGGTTGGACGCATCCTTCCAGCCCATGGTTCTGGGGTTGGCGTGAAGTGGGCATTTTCCCTATCCTCTGTAGACTGAGGAGTGACCCTCTAACAGATGCTTCAGAAATCCCAGGAGTAGAACGTTTGGCTTGAACTCCTCCTCCCAAGCAGTCCCTCATTTAGGAAATCATTCGAGGGACTGGGGAGGTCCTGGGCAGTGAAGGACCTCACCCCAATGGAAGCAGCAAAAGAAGCATTCTCTGAGTGAAAGACAGTGCCCACAGTGGCCCGCCAAGAGTACGTGGCCCTCCCTGACTGTCCCTACCTCTGTTGGGAACCTAGAGGGGGCAGGAGGACATATGAGTAAGTGCACCCCCTAAAGAAGGACACAGGGGCTGTTGCCTTGCAGAGGGTCGCATGCTGGGCTTGTCTGGTGAACTGGAATCTCTCAATTCGAAGCCCACAGGCAGACGGGGAAGTAATTTCCTAGAAATTAAGTCTGAACACTCCACAGCCTCTCCTCAAAGAGTGAATGTGGGCTGGCAGCTGGGGCGCACGGGGGCCTTGTGTGTGCACGTGTAAGGGTGTGTACTGTTATGTGTGTGCACATCCTCACACACATACACACCCTCACACATGTACATCTGCACACACACACCTGCCTCTACACACCCACATGTGCACACGCTCACACACCAGTGCACATCAGAGGAAGCTTTCTTCTCTCCTGAGGAAGTCCAGGAAGCTCCTGGCAGGAGAGGTGAGCTGGACCGACCTGAGGCCTGCAGGCCAAGGAGGCTGAGAACTGGGAAATGGTGCAGGGCCCAGCATAGCTGCAGAAATCTGACCCCAGGCTGAGCATGTCAGCACAGTGACCATGAAGCAGCAGCCCAGCAGGTGGGGGCTCCCTCCCCAGCGCAGAAGGTTCGCTATAGGGTGCAGAGCGGCTGGCCAGCCTCAGGCCCACTCCAGTTAGAGCTGAGCTGGCAGCGTCTGTCCTCCACCAGCCCTGCCCCAGTGGCCCAGGCTTGCCGTTTCCTCCTGCTCCTGCAGCAGGGCCCTGACTCATTCACACCTCTCAGGCCTGTCCCCCACCTCCCACTCGGTTCCCAGCACTGCCCACAGACATTCTTTTAAAGGAGACTTTGCTTGCCTCACTCCCCTCCTTAAAACTCAATAGTGACCCATTCCTCAGCAAAAAAGCGGGCATTTTTCAGCCTAGCATTGCCTAGCATTTTAGAATAATAACACACTTCTCAAGCCCTGATCTGAGTGCTTTTACATACACAATTGACCCTTGAACAATATGGGTCCACTTATGCACAGATTTTTCTCCATCAAAGTTACACCATATGCCCACCCTTCCTGCCTCCCCTCCCACCTCCTCTACCTCTTCTGCCTCTGCACCCTTGAGACAGCAAGAGCAACCCCTCCTCTTCCTCCCCAGCCTACTCAATATGAAGACAACAAAGATGAATGTACTTCCCCTTAATGAAGGGTGACATGTTTTCTCTTCTTGATATTCTTAATAACATTTGCTCCTCTCCAGCTTACTGTATTGTTAGAATATGGTGTATATAATATATATATACTGTATAAAATATGTATTAATCAACTGTTTATGTTATCAGTAAGGCTTATAGTCAACAGTAGGTTATTAGTAGTTAACTTTGGGGGGAGCCTAAGGTTATATATGTATTTTCTTTTTTTTTTTTTTGAGACAGGGTCTCCCTCTGTCACCTAGGCTGTAGTGCAGTAGCATAATCATGGCCCCCTGTAGCCTCGACCTCCCAGGCTCAAGCAATTCTCTCACCTCGACCTCCTGAGAAGCTGGAACTACAGGCGCAGGCCACCATACCAGAGTGGTTTTATTCTAATGTTTGTAGAGACAGGGTCTTCCTATGTTGCCCAGGCTGGTCTTCAACTCCTGGGCTCAAGTGATCCTCTCACCTTGGCCATCCAAAGTGCTGGGATTACAGGTGTGAGCCACCACACCGGCCTTTACATGGATATTCAACTCCATGGTGGGGGGGCAGTGTCCCCTAACCCCCTGTTGTTCAAAGGTCAACCGTATTTGCCTCTTCGTCCTCACAATCACCCCCTTGAAGGAGGCATTATTATGACGATTATCCCCATATTATAAGTGAGGGAACTCAGGCAGGGGGAGGAGCTCATCACTTGCCCACTAGCACAGACAATAGGGGACAGATCCAAGTTCAAACTCAGACAGTCTGACATCTCAGCCCATACCCTTGCAGCTCAAAGTGTGGTCCCTGGACCAGTGCATCAGCATCACCCGAGAGCTTGTTAGAAATGCAGAGGCTCAGGCCCCCAAACCTGCTGAGTCAGGAAGGTCCCTGAGATCTGAGAAGCTCTGCTTGGGTTTCAGAGCCAGGTCCCCTCTCACCCACCTGACTCAGCCCTGTCAGCCCCATGCCTTTGCTTGTGCCGTCCTTCAGCCTGGAGCTCTCTGCCCTGGTGTGGGGACCCTCCAGGCCCCCCACCACATCCACAAGTAGCTCGCGTGCTCCCTCCTCTTCTGACCTCCCTGGTCCATGGCTCCTCCATCCCCTAGGGAAGGATCGGTCCCTCCCACCTTGAGCTCTTGATGTGAGGTCGTGCCTCAGTTATTGTTCTGACATTGCAGAGGGTATTTGTGAGTGAGTTGGACTTGGACGAATTCCCCTTTTTGTGTGTACACATGCATGAGTGCACACATCTCGTGTTCCTCGTGGCACCGGACAGCCGGCCTCTGAACCCCAGTCCCTGTACCTGTCAGCCGGGGCTCCCCTTCTCTCTCCCTCCTCCTTGAATCCAGCTCTGAGGACCTTGGTCCTCCATGCCTGGTCTGATCCCTAATGAAGCCCTTGATCTCAGAACTCAGTGCATCATTCCCCACCAGCCAGGAGGAGCCAGACAGCTTTGCCTGCCTGTTGCCTTTCCCTTCTGATACTTTCCTCCTTGATCTCGAGCCCTGTCGGTAGCAAAGGGCAAGGAGGGGCCTCCCAGCAGAGCAGCTGGTGCCCTTCGCCACGGGTCACACCTCCCTGCCCCAACACCTGGCCTTGGTGGCTAAGGGCGATTAGGAGGGGTTGGCTGGGCAGTGGCAGCCAGCACAGAGGGCCCAATCTGGCCCGAGAGCCAGGTGGGCAGAGTGTTGGAGGGAGCAGGCAGGAGAAGAGCAAAGGCTTGGGAGCTGAATCCTGTCTCCACAGCATCTGCTGCGGCCTCACTCCTCAGCACTTCGGCTCCCTCCTTCTCAGCTGGGGAGAATGAGACAGCCCACGAGGCTGAGGCATTATGAGGATGAGAGGAAGCGCCTTGTGTCAAGAGAACTGAGTATTTAGCCAATTGCCATTTGATGGACTTCTGGACAGTCAGAACTGGAGTTCATAAGGAATCACTACCAGGCAGGGAAGCTGTGTCCTGTGCAAGGGGGCACGGCCAGCTATTAACAGAATGAGACAACACTTCCCCCATCCTGGTGTCCTGCCCGTGGCCCTCTGTGGCTCCCCTTCGTTGATTAGGAAAATGGAATCAGGGTGGCGCCTCGGGAGAAAATGCTGTGGATCCCAGGGTCAAAGCTCATTGTGCCCTTGGTGAGCTGTTTGCCCTGAGAGGAACCCAGCAAAGATGGCTCCTGAGTTGTCTCCCTTGACCACTGCTGGGCCTGGACGTCCCTAGAGAGTGGGCTGAAGCCAGGTCATGTTCCCGTCACTGGAGAAGTGGAAAAAAAGGGGCTGCCATCCCGCCTCTCTGACAAACACAGGGAGGTGCCCCTGCGCCTCTGCCACTCTGCCAGGGATACAGACACTCAGGCAGCACCACAGGCCCCAAGAGGCACAGGCACACCGACAAAAGCAAACCCATACCAGGGACACAGACACCACACACATTTAGTCATTGCTGGCGGTCCCCAGGTCCCAGAGACCCTCACAGAAGCTCAAGGACTTGAATGAGGTGTTGGTATGTTCAACACCCAGACCCCCCACACACATCTGTGTATGCCCACACGCTGCCACGCTGACCTGTGGGTGGGGGCAGGCACATGAGCGGGCACTGAGCCTTGGCCTGAGCAGGTGCGTGGGTGTCCCCCCACACTCAAATGGGCAGCTGGAAAGCAGGGTCAGGCCTCAGGTGCAGAGCACAGCAGCCATGAGTGGGGGTGGTGGGCGTTGCCATGGAGATGAGAGCCGGAGAGGCAGCACTGCAGGCGAGCTCCGTGTGGGCGGGTGAGCCCGCAGATCCACAGATCAGCTCCGTGTGGGCGGGTGAGCCCGCAGATCCACAGATCAGCTCCGTGTGGGCGGGTGAGCCCGCAGATCCACAGATCTCGGGAGGGACTGGGCAGTGCTGGAGGCTCCGGGACGGGAGGAGGCTCTTGAGGTGGGGGGTGGGGCTGAGGGGCTCTGGAATGACAGGAGCAGCTGCTTGTGTTGCAGGCCTGGGTGCAGGGTCATGAACTTGTGGTCTTGGCTGGGAGCACGGACAGACTATGGGGCCTCTGCCTCCCCCAATCAGTGCCACTCACTCCCACTCCTGCCCCCCACCGGCAACTGTGCCGAGCTCACAGCCAAGGCAAAGCTATCAGGGAGGGCGAGCAGAGGCGGGGAGCTAAGGATCACGGCTGGTTTGGGGAAAACAGCTGAGGAGGGTCTGGCTGATTCTCCCCACCTCCTGGCATCACCTGACCTGCTCTTTCTTTTCCACTGTCCCTCCTTTGCAGTCTAGTGGAATGGGAATCACACAGGATTGGGAGTTAAACAGTAAATCAGGATGCCGGTCCCTGTCGACCAACTCTGGGACGGTGAGCAACCTGCCCAGTGAATGTCAACCTCGGTCTTCATATCTGTAAAATGGGATGAGGAACCCTGATCAACCTACCTCCAGAGCTGCTGAGAAGGTCCAATGACTCTCAGGAAATTCAACTAGACAGACATGGACAGACGCCTACTATGCACCAGCACGCTGCGGCGCTCCAGGGACGGAGAGGAGCACACTCTCGCAGAGCTCACCAGCGAGTGGGTGGGAGAGGAGTGCGTACAAACAGGACAGCTCGGACAAGCGCCAGGACTCAGCCTGTTCCCGCAGCTCCTGGGAGTGCCTGCTGAGGGCCAAGTACTGGGGTACAAGGAGGCAAGAGCGGTGGCAGAGGAGCCCAGGGACTGCATGGGAGTCAAATCACAGAAGAGCGGGGGCTTCCCCCAGAGCGGCCTCACATGCATCCGACTCGTTCATCATAACCCGCCAGGTGGAGCCACTGAATGCGCTCCCCATTTTACACGTGAGAAAGCTGTGATCAGAAAGAATAAACAGCTGTCCCAAGTGCAAATCCCAGGGGTGGAGCTGGGATTTGACCCCCATCTGGCAGGTCCCAGAGTCCCTGCTTTGGGCCACTGAGCTCAGCTGCTTCTCCTGGCCTCACCCTTCCATGTGCCTATGGCCTCTGGGAAGAGTTGCCCGGTGTCAAAGGCCCTCCCCTGCTCCCTGCCCCGACCCTGGCCTGGGCTGCGGTTCCACCAGCCACTCACCCCTCCGCCTGCCCCGTTCCCTTCTCCTTGCTTGCCTTCAATAAGACAGTCCAGGGGCGCGGACAGATAGCACAGTCTCACAGAGCCCGACAGCACTGACATCGGCGTCCTGCGCCACCACTTGCGAGCTGTGGCAAGGCCATGGAGGCTCTCTGAGCGCTGTTCCCGCACTGCAGTCCACACACGGGCAGTGCGGGGCATGAGCCGGGCCCTCAACACCTTCAGTGCCCACGAGGCACTCTGCACACCCCTGTGCTTCCAGAAGGGGCCATCTGTCCCCTGTTTCCAGGCAGTGGAAGGTGGAGTCTAGCCTGGCAGGACAGGAGGCAGACGCTGGGCCTTGTCTCCAGAGAAACCTGCCTCCTCCCTCACTCGCTGTGTGTCCTGGGGAAAATCACAAGGCCTCTCTGAGTTTTGTTCCTGGGGCCTTCCACCCCAGGGTCCCAGACGGGATCCAGCAGGACCCGAGGGCCATGGGTCTGAGCTGGCAGGATCTGAGCTTGGAGATCTTGCCCCTCTCCAGAGGACCAGCATCTCTCCCAGCTCCTCCAAGTGGCCCTCTGGTAGCCTCCCTGGGTCCTGTGAATGGGAGAGGGGGAAGAAGCAGCTGTCACCTGGGTTTGAGGGGGCACTGGCGGATGGCAGAGGAAGCCTGCCTGGGCTGGGAGTGGGCACCCTACGGCTCCCCTCTCTGGGACTGGCTCCCCCACCGCTGACAGCCTGGGCTGTGAACAGGCCTGTGGGAGGGCCTGCACGTGGGGATGCCCCCACCTCCCCAGGGAGGATGTGAGGCCAAGGCTGACCCCGGTCTCAGGCACAGCCTTACAGTGGGCAGCTTTGAGAAACCCTGTGAAAAGGGCCAGCTCTGGGCTCAGAGGCCAGGGAGGGCGTGGGAGAAAAAGGCAGTCCCCCCGCACTGGCTGGCATCTCTTGAGGTTTCTGTAGAAATGTTTGCTCTGGCAGGAAAAAAAAAATCTGTTGCCATGGTAACCTCTGTCTTCTCTCCCCAGCTGAGTCCTCAGAGGGCAAATCGTCTCAGAATTACCAGGGATGCGTGGCCGGCTACACTTAGGGGAAGCTTCCCAAACCCAGGCCTCCCTGCAGGGTGAAGGAGCCACATTCGCTCAAACACTGGAGCCTCATTCATTCATTCATTCATTCATTCATTCATTCATTCAACAATCACTGAGACTGTACGCGCCACCCTGTGCTGGCCCTGCGGATGTGGAAATTCATCCAATTCGGTCCCAGAACTCAAGGAGCTGAGAGTCTGGTGGGAAGATGGGTGTGTAAACGTGAATCCATGGAGGTGGCGAGATCTTTGACAGGGGATGGCGGAATGCTGCAGAAGCACAAAGGGAAGGTGGGAGGGCTTCCCGGAGGAGGCCTGCTTTGGCTGGGTCTTTGGGCTGCTCTAGACCCTGGAAGCCCTTAGAGCCCGACCCCCTGCCTGGTGCTGCACCCATTTTACAGAGAAGAGCACTGAGGTCCAGATAGGGTGAATGACTTGCCAGGGTCATAAAAGGAAAGGCAGCTTCGTATCCGACCCTAATAAATAATGTATTCTGGATTTTAATTATTTAAAAAGCCTCCATTTCACTGAGTCTCATCAAAAATAGAAACTCTCTTCCTTTCACTCTAGATTTCTCTTGAAAGTGGCAGGTGGGTGCAGAGGCGGGGCCCGGGCCTCTGAAGTGTCCTGCTTGTGGCAGCGGCTGTGATGCAGAGGCCACGAGCCCCCAGCCTCTGCCGGAGAAATGACAAGTGACCGTCATCCTGGAGCCTCCCCCTTGCCTTAGGCCACTCCATACCTGGTCCTCAGATGGGTGGTCAGCGCCCCCCAAGTCCACCAGCCTCTCTTTCCTCCCAGGCACACGGGGGTCATGACAGCACCTCTTGGAGATGTTGAAAGAATCTTGCGTTGGGTGTCTGTGGGGGGAGGAGGTCCCATCTCTGTCCCCAGACCTGACACACCGTAGACCCCCAACCTATGGACATTTCCATCCTTCAAGGACAGGCCTTAGAGAAAGGAAGAAAACCAAATCGCCAAGAGGTATGAGAAGAAAGGGCTGGGGAGGGAAAGCCAGGACACACCGGCCTACTGTTGGCCATTGGGGTGATCTTGTGGCTTTGAAAATCCAGATCAGTTCCCCAAAACTCAGCCAGTCAGGGGCTCCCGCTCGCCACTGTGCTCTGCAGCATTCCCGCCCCTTGTTCCTCGGTATCTTACCAAGCCCACATCACACAGATCAGCTTCTTTTCCATGGGAAGCAGCCAACGACAGCTCCAGCCCAGCACCAGACAGAATCTCACTGAGGCTTCCAAGCACCACCACCCCCATCTGTCTTCCTTGTCGTGTGCCCCTGGGGCTTAGCTCTGAACACAGACATCACCCAAACAGGGTAGGCCACCACAAGTCAAGGTCTCGCTTCCAAACCAGAGCACACTCAATTCCAGTCCACCTCTCCCTGCTTCGCTGTCCCCAGACCCCATCTGTAACATTTGCATCTCCGTTGGAGAAGGTCGAAGGCCAACCACCAAACCCCAAGCCCCCTCCAGCTCCTGCCCCCGCCACACTGCCCTTGACATTCCTCCCTCACGCTGGGACCCTCCGCTGGGCTCTGTGATGAACAAGCACTGCAAAACTCTGGGGGCACTGCAGCTCTCCAGATGATTTCTATCGAATAAACACTGCCAGGTCCCAAACCGTCTGGGAGGTAAATACTATTACTAAGTAACGGGCAAGTGGTCCTGAGCTTTGGCGTGGCAGAAGCAGGGCAGAAATGGAGGACAGCGTCTCTGCCTCCAATTCCCGCCCTTCCCCTCTCTCCAGCCTTCTTTCTCTCATTTGATCTGGACAGCTGTGGAGAGCTACCACTCCCCACTTTATAGGCTAGGGAGCCTCAAAAAGCAAAGCGACTTGCCCAGAGCTCTGGAACAAATCCCTCAACCTCCACAGGGGCTGCGTGAGTGTCGCTGGTGGCTTAAACCACCAAAACGTGTTGTCTCCCAGTTCTGGAGGCCAGAAGTCCAACAGCAACGTGCGAGCAGGGTTGGTTCCTGCTGGGGCTGTAAGGGAGACTGCTCCAGGCCTCTCCCTCCGTGTCTGGCGGTTTGCTGGCCATCTTCCACGTTCCTTGGCTTCTAGATGCATCTCCCAGTCTCTACCTTCGTGCTCACATGGCCTGTGTCTGTGTCCAAATGTCCTATAAAAATAAGGACTCTGGTCATCGTGGGTTAGGGCCCACCCTACTCCAGAGTGCCCTCATCTTCACAAATCACATCTGCAATGACCCTGTTTCCAAATACAGTCATATTCTGAGTTCCGTGGGGTTAATGTCAACGTGGGAATTGGGAGACACAATTCAGCCGTAAGGGAGGCTCAGGGGTCATCCCCGGAGGTCATCCCCAAAGGCAGGATGTGCTCATCCCATCCTGACCCACAGAAGCCACTGTGCTCATCCCATCCCTACCCGCAGAAGCCACTGCAGAGGCAACTGGCCTGGCCCCAAGAAAGCTTCTCGAGGACCCCGACTTCTACCAAAAGGCTGAGGAGCACTTGGAGCGGGAAGGAAGGAGTTCATGTGGAGGCCGTCCCACTTCCCCCGGGAGAACATGTCATCCTGAGAGCCTGGACCTGGACTGAGGGCAGAGTCTGCAGTTCCAGTCCCCGAGATCCACTCTCCTGCCCGTGACTCTGGTCCCAGAGCTCATCTCTGTGGTCCTTAAAGGCAGTGGCTGCGGCAGCAGGAGTGGGGATGGCAGAAGGACGTCTACACAGGACTGCTTGGGATCCCAGTTCCCACGTGTTAGCTGTGTATCTTCAGACAACTGACTTTTCCCTTCTGAACTTGAGTTTTCTCCTCCAGGAAAAATGGGGCTTTGCAGGGTTGCTGTGGGGACAGCGCCTGAGCTCACCTAGGCAGGGACAGCAAGTTCCCACCTGGCCCCCGAAGAGACCAAGCTTGCTTTTCTAGTGTCCAAAAAGCCCCCAAACCAAGATGCCAACCCCACACCCAGCATGCCCCCATACCTGGCTCCAGGCACAATCTTCTTCACTGGGTTAAAAAGAAAAATCTCTTGGGACCCCAAGGCAGGTGGATTGCCTGAGCTCAGGAGTTCAAGACCAGCCTGGCCAAGATGGTGAAACCCAGTCTCTACTAAAACACAAAAACATTAGCCGGGTGTGGTGGCATGCGCCTGTAGTCCCAGCTACTTGGGAAGCTGAGGCAGGAGAATTGCAGTGAGCCGAGATTGCACCACGGTACTCCAGCTTGGGTGACAGGGCAAGACTCTGTCTCAAAAAAAAAAGAAAAAAAGAAAAGTGTCTCCCGAAAATGAGGTCAGATTGTAAGTCACGCTCTGTATTCTTCCCCAGTGCCAGACAGAGTGGACCTGAGGGCTGGCTTCAGCCACTTCTGCCCAGAAGCCTTCAGACTGCCTCTGAGTGACTTGGCCCAACCAGGAAGGTGGGGTTTAGATAAGAGAAAGGGGGA